TTATGTGATGTGATATAATATTATTTCTCATCTGTTAAATGCTAGCTAGCTAGTTAAATTTAATTGATTTTAGACTTCATTATACATTTTTTTAAAATATTCTTTAAGCTTAACGTGTCACACTCTCTCTGATTGTGTTCATTGCAATTCTTCCAATTGATTAGCTTTCCACCTAACCACCCATTAAACACCCTGACAATATATATAATTAACTCAGTCGTCGTCAGGGTTGATAATCACTAGCATAAAAAAAATAAAAGTAAGCATTACAATAATTATTTTGCTATAATTCCTAATGTCTTTTGAATAAAAAGATCTCTCTTTATAAATTCTGCAGTCTCATGATAAAAGCATTAATGATAACAATAATAATAATAATAACGACACTAATTGTTAAGACTGTATGGATCACAAAAAAATACTTGCGCTAAGGTTACACATACACGTGAAAATCAGACAAGAATTTAGTAGTCATATTAATCCACAATAACAATCTATAATTAATAGACAGTGATGTATATAATAACTGAAGTTATGTGCTAATTAGAGTTTAGATTGGCGCTTTATGAACGATAAAAGTCTTTCTCTCTAGTACTAATGTCCTATATACACATATTATTAATAGATGTATACATATATACTTCTTTTCTTTCTATGACGTCATTCGACCAGTAAAAATTTCTATGGTTTTTCTATTGTTAAAATATATGTATCGATTATATGAGTGCTCAAATGCACACAGTATTTCAACATCAGACGAACGTGCGTTTTCACACACTACATATTATCTTAGCATAGGAATGAGTGATGCGTCGGTCGCATAGTGGTTAGGACGCTCGCCGACCATGAACATGGTCCGGGGTTCAATCCCTGGCCACCGACGCACTCCTTTACCTCGCTAAGCCAGAAATAATGCTAGTGAAGAGGAAAGGTTGGGCATGAGGCTAGAAACCCCATCCTGTAAAATAAGCACTGCTACAGAAACTTCAAGCCACTAGCTTGAAGTCCTATGTTCCACTGGGGAACGTGAAGGAAAAAAATAGTAATGGGTGAGGACTGTCCGCATTACTTATTGTTGCATTGTTAGTGCAACGCGGCTGGGATACTGCCCGGGTGCCTAAACCAAAGCAGGTGGTGGTTGTTTTAATGGATCACCCACCCACCCCGTCGAGCTTTTGACTTGGAGCTACATCCCCATGGTTACCGGTGACCAATACAGATTTTTACTCCGTTCAATCCTCCGTTAGGATTCTGGAACCAGTGTGTGCTTTTAGTCTAACCGCTATCTTAACAACCCGTCCTGGCATAGTAGGACCTCCGGGAACATAAGTCCTAGCCAGTGTAGCTTGTTGGATCACTACAGTATGCAAGCTCTACCACTGCGGTAAGATAGCATAACATAAAAGTGCTCAAATGCACAAAGCACCTGAATATCAGATGAACGTGTGTTTGGACATCTGCTACGAATGTCATCCCAGAGGATTCCGTACCCGTCTGTGTTCGTTAGCCCTGGGGCGGGATGGAAAAAATAGGTAGTCAGCCTATGACGTGGCGTCGTGGGATAAAGGATATTTGTGTTAAGTTAGCATTGGTTTGGTGCATCACGACTCCCTGGTTGCGGTCCGAGAGATAGCTTGAATCGTTATCGGATATGGTGATCAAGAACCGCAACCAATGCTGCAATTTCCTTCTTTCTTCCCTTTCTTACAATAATACGACGAATATTGTTTGGTCTTGTTAAATATAGTTGCTTCCTTTCCGGATAAGGACCTTATTTATTCTCCACCTATTTTTTTTCAAATGGTGCTGTTTTCTTGGTGTCTATACTGTACCAGGTTTTGTGTTTTAAATAAAAGTTATCTATCTATCACCGGGTGTTTTCGCGGACACAGAAATCAATAAAACACCTTCAAAAACAGGCCAAACGTAACATCTGATATGATTACAACATTCCTCTAAGCACATAATACAAAATCATATTAGACTAACTTACTTGAGCAAATTCAAATCGTAATTGACCGCCTCCGTTATATTGCGATGAAAGCTCAGCAAGTTTTTCTTGTAATATCTACAATTCCGTAGCAATGTGAGTGGGAAGTAGCTAAATTTGGAAGCAATATTTTAAGATATTAAAATGCTGAGGTAGAGAATTATTTATACTATCGATATGATAATTTTATTGGACGATTTTTTAACCAATCAGAATAAAATTCATTCAATATATTTTTCTGTGTGTGGGAAAGGCTGATAATTCTGTCAGATAAAGTCACCGCTATACGCCAATCAGTCTTCTGATATTTTCGTGACTCAGTGAGGTGAAAAAGTATTATTAAGGGAGAAGAAGACATTTTAAATCAAAGATTATACAGTTCAAGGAGGTGAAATATCACCAATCTGTGATCTGCTTGAAACCATAAAGCACGCATAAATTCACGTGACAGCTCTCTATGAATTGCGTCAAAAAGGGTAGACTTTCGATGAATTCGGCCCCAAATGAGCTAAACGACTGTTCGGCGGTTAGATCACTTCGATTTTTAGCTGGCTAGCGCACAGTATTACTGATTAATGTGAGTGAGTCAGTGATATCCAACTATTCATTTCAACCAATCACAATACTATATAGTATCAAGAATACACTTGCTTGGCATTCAATGGAAGTGCCTCGTAGCATCAATTACACTCACGCTTCAATCCGTTCAGGACAAATAAAGTACATTTAATAATCTCTAGGAATATTCTCCATCCTTATGTTACTCAACAAGTACTTACACACACACCTATTATGTGAAGGCTAGTGATACTCTACCAGACTGCTTAAACGTCAGTATGTAGGTGGGACAGGGTTCGAACCTACACCAATAAGCCATAGTACTAATAGTTGAAACGAGAAGATTATAGGAGAGTAGCAGAAACACAATTTCAATTGTTATATATTCGTCACGAACCAAAAGCAGTTATATATAGAGAAATCAACCGGAGTACTAGAGAACTGTTTCGTCCTATTTTGCAACTTTTCATCAGTACACACCCATGACCTACCGTGCCAGCAATCAAGTCTAGACAGGAACACCTTACAGTTACGAAACCAAAGTAATTGGTCAATTAGCTCCCACTTCAGAGGCTGGAATTCAATGGTCCCTGAAATCTGACTTAGTCAATTCCTGTAATGTACACTCTACCCCTCGAACAATCAATGCCTTCAATGAGCAATCACTTCACTTCCAATAGTGCAGGTGAAAATAGTCCTAAATCCCTATGCTTCCAGTTTGGGTAAAATTTATTTTGATAAAATCTCACAGTGTTATACAGCAATATTTACTGATGACGACATTCCGAGCACAATTTATTACTGCTCATAATCATATCAACGCACTACTCACACAACTTTATAACTTCATTTATATAATTACATCTTTACCTTTCATCGCTTGACTTGACTGGTAGTAGCACTTTCCATATTTCCGGTATGAGTTATTCCTATTGAACGTATTGGGTGTAGGTTCGATGAACAAAGATTCCGTAATCAAAGTCCCTCCCCACCTACTTATATTACATTTCAGAATCTTAACTCTGTTCCACCCTATTGTGTGGTCGTGGATTAATGCATGCAGTGCGATTGCAGTTTTATTTTCTAAATTACTTATCTTCGTGGGGTCAATCATTCTGATAATCTGACTACCCCTGATCTACTGGTTTGACCTATGTAGTTGACCTCAGTCACTGTCATTGCAAGGTATTTTGTAAATTATATTATTTTGTCTGATTAGTTCAATAGGGTTCTTTATCCTACGGAACTAGTTCCTGAGTGAGGTTTGAATGTTACCCTAATTCCAGCTTAATTAAGAATCCTACATAGAGTCTCAAGTGACCCCTACTTATATGGTAAAATTGTAGATGCCTTATATTCTTTCTTATTTATGTTAATCCTTATTAGTTTCACCATTATTTTTATTTTGACCTTCTTTGATCTTCCTAATGAATTTTATAGGATAGGTAGGTGTAGAGAGACAGAGGTTGATTACTGAATCCTTGTTCATCGAACCTACACCCAACACGTTCAATAGGAATGACTCATCACTCATATCGGAAATATGGAAAATACTACTACCAATCAAGTCAAGCGATGAAAGATAAACATGGAATTATCTAAACGAAGTTAGAAAGTTGTGTGAGTAGTGCCTTGATATGATTATGAGCAGTAATAAATTATGCTCAAAACTTGGTCATCAGTAAATATTACTGTATAACACTGTGAGACTTTATCAAAATAAATTTTACCCATAATGAAATTATACCCTACCATAGTGTATAAGTTCTGCTCTTCTATCAAAAATCCTATGCATCTGAAATTACATCGACTGAGATGGTTAGGACATGTGTTACGTATGCCTAGTCATCGCCTTCCTCGACGGACGGACAACGTTAGCTGACATAGGGCCACGCTGGAAAAGAGCTGGCGGTGGTCAAACCAAAACATGGCACCAGTCAATGAAATCTACAACAGTTAGTTTAAGCCAGCCACGTAGGAAGGTGTAGACTTCTTGACTGGTTGGGGTCCTCGAGACGGTAAAAACCAATGGTTGGAAACAATTGGTGACATAGCTCGAAATCGTTCTCAGTGGCGCAGATGCATCCACTCCTTGTGACTTATGATTTCTAATGAAACTGTTTTGTTCTTCGTTATACTATTCCTTTGTCTCACACCTCTATTTACTGTCTTTATTTTGCATTTCTTCTCTTGCTTTATGTGCTACATGGAGTGTGGCGACATGAACTGCCGCACGTATGTGCAAAGTTCTATGTCGAAAACCGACCGATCGATGCATCTGAGAAATATATATATCCAACACTGCTCCCGCCTGACTACTCTCTCTCTCGCACGCTCTCTATCAGCTGTTTCTTCTCTCACTGACGACTATTGACAAAACAAAACACAGAAACCTGTAAACAGAGGCGGGAGTGTAGGGGGAAACACAGTCAAAAATCTACAAAAGACAAAATATGTATGTATATATATATAGTACTACTCTGTTGAATCTTGATTTATAGATATATATGAAGAGAAGAAGATTGTAAGGGAGAGAGAGAAAGAGAAGTCAATCATTGTCATTATCATTATCGTTACAGAAAAGAAAATGAAGGATAATAGATTAATGCATGTACAACATATATATTTGCTAGAAAAGGACAAAGACAAGAAGTATAAGAGAGAGGAAGAAGTAAAGTGACAAAAAAGGAAAACAAAAAAAATGGCAACCAATAATCCCCTGATTTTATCACTGAGTTAGTTAGTCAATTAGTTAGTTACTCAAATAATTAATGCATATGACATTCATGGCATATTAATAAGGCTTTTAAAAAACACACGCACACGCACACCAAAAGAGATAGGAAATAACTGTGTACAGAAAGGAATAAGTATTTATACAGGGTTTTTAAAAAATCTCAGACACCAGAAGAAAGTAATAAGGCAACTTAGTGAGGCAGTGAGCCATTGAGATAGAAGATAAGAAAGTAGAGAGTTAAGGCAATACAATAATATCGTCGATTCTCCACAACCCCCGCCACCCACCCACCCCAACACATCTCCATTTGTGCGGGGGTGGGGTGGCGTGGGAAAGTGCATAAGTACCAAATAAAATTAAGAGTAACAATAATAATAGATAATAATAATAATAATAATACATAGATTACCATATTCCAAATCATCAAATGCGGAAATAAGTGTGTATGTGTGTGATACACAAAATTAATAATACACTCTCGCCACCACACGCACACACCCCCAGCGTCCGCGGCCGTTGATCTATGAGGTACAACTGCTGTGTGTGCATGGGAGAGAGGGAGCGGATTGCTTTGAATCGGGTTGGGAAATAAAAAGGTACACACCATAGAGAAAGAATTAATGGTAGGAGTAGTTGACATGAGTACACACATCAGAGGAGAGTGTAGCAGAGGCACACACACGCACACAATACCTCTATCAAACACCCACCCACGCATCGCATCCCCTGGGTTATTCAAATTATCAAAAAAAATAACATCCGTAAAAAAGGGAGAGGAGAGGAACACTGAAGATACATTGCAAAAATACACATTTATCACTGAGTACAATTCACAAATATATATATAAATATATTATATATTCGACAAATGTAATGTTTTCTTTGCATTTTTGAAAGACAGAAATAATCTTAAAGTTTATTTAATACAATGAAAAATAAAAGGTAAAAATGGTGATGTATACCCCACCCCTTCTTCTTTTAGGTTAAAATTAGAAGAAAAGCACAATAATAATAATTGCTTTTAACATGCATACATACAGACGCACCGACCAGTTACCATTGGGAACGATGTCTTCTAACGTTATTACTGCTATTCCCATTACTACTATTAATTGATGAACTAGAAAAGCGATGATGATCTGCTGCATTGCTATTTGACGGCTCTTTAATCCAACGGGCATAAAATGATGGCACTTCAGACCGATGAGAACTTTTCGATCGATATAAATCATTATGGCTGTTATTATTATTATTATGACTATTACTAATATTAGTATTGGTAACAGATCTGTTCGAATGTTGAGATTTAGATGGTGGTGGTTGTTGTTGTGGACTTGAAGGAATTTGTGAAACATAATATACAGGTAAATTATTTGTATCTGAAGATATTCCATTAAGAAAACTCCCTTTCGTTGGACTATAACCAATGGAATCGTGTGACAATTCGTCATGAGGAGTTTTAGGCGTTTTCATAGGCGAGGCATCTTTATGCTTAGATGATGATGATGATGACAAATGTACTGATCTTGATCGTCGACGTCTAGAAATATCATTATCATTATCTGGTGAATTCAAAGGGATTGATGGTCGATAAGTTGGTGTTGGCGAGGATGATGATCTTGAATCATCAGATGACTCAGAATTCGGAATACGTCGATGATATGATGATGAACTTTTGTACTTGTAGATTTAATTCTTTTCGGTTCATAAGTGTTATCTTCACTTGGCACAACAGGATACTGTGAGCTCTGTACACTTGTTACCGAATTAACATGACACTTAGGTGATGATGATCTTGATGTAATCGGTGCTAAACTTTTACTACGACAAAATTTTCTCGATGGAGGCGGCGAAGCATTCGGCGACTGGTCATCATCTGAAGCGATAATTCTATTCTCTGAATGGGAATTTCCATCTCTTCCTTGAAGATTTGAATGCTGTTGTTGTTGCTGTTGTTGTCCTGCAGGCATATGATGAGATCGTTTCGATGACTTTTTTATCGATAGGGAATGTCTATTCTCCTGAGAACTAGAATTGTCGATACGATCAATCTTTTTTCGATGGTTAACGAATTCTTGTTCTGTATCAGTTTCTAGTAGTCTAGATTTATGCCGTTTTTTCACAGGGGATTGTTTATATTTATTATTGACAACACTGGGTGGTGGTGCTGCTGCCACGGCTGCCGCCGTCTCACAATTCTCCATATCTGTATCATCACTGTTATCTGAAGAAGAAGTATTTACAGAAGTATCCAACTGGACTAAACGTCGTCTTTTCGATTTATGCTTAGGCACACTGGGCTTTTCATGCTTAGATGACGGTGCAGAGGTATCAGAACAATTGTCATCTAGGGGATTAGAATTCTGGTATGGAGATAACTTTGTTGCGGATGAAGTCATGGTATTTGGTAGGGCGGTGATATCAGAATGTTTTCTATGCGACTTTTTCTTTGATGATTGTTCTTTAACAACATTAGTAGTTGTAGTAGTAGGAAGAGGAGGAGTTGCTTCAGTCTGGAAAATCATATTCGATCCTGTATTGAAAACAGTTGACGGGGTACTACTGGTGATTACTTTCGAGTGAGTTGATTCTTCTTTATTTGACAGTTTAGTAGTAGTCACTGTCGACAAACTTTGTGTAGTACCACCAAGAGAAGAAGACGAAGAAGAAGTAATAGGATTGTTTGCCATTGTAGACAAAGAAGTAATGATTTTCTGTTCCTGTGAAACTATACTGGAATTACGTAATTCATTTGATGAATTGTATTTTGTAGAAATAATATTTGATTGACCTGTCTCTTGTCGTTCATTAGGACATTTTAACTGATCAATTATTTGTGAATGAACATGGAATATGCCATCCATGTAACGTAATAAAATTAGGAGTGGAATTTGTGAAGTATTTATATGCGCTCCATCTGAAGCATTTGCAATGTCAATATCAATAGAGTGAGTTAGCCTTAGATGATGCCCTGAAGACGATGAGGATGATGATGATGGGTTATCTGCTGAACTACCATCGGGTTTGCGTCCAGTAGATGGAATAATTAATGCCGAAGATTTTAAGTGTGGAACTTTTGTGGCTAATTCATTGGCTTGTTGCCATTCAACCATTGCACTACGCACACAGGCTGTTAACTGATTAAGACGAACAAATTGACCAACCAGGGATTCCAGGACTTTCTTTGAATCTAATAGAAAAAAGATGATAACAGAAGGGTGTCTTAGAGAAGAAAAAAACAGTAATAATGAAGTCAATCAGACAATAATACAATTTCAAGTGTTGGTTTGCAAGGATTTGATTTTAATTTGTGGATGGTGACTAGCAGTGGAATCCAGGATGCGCATTTCGTCCTATTTGGGACTCGTCACTGGATGTACCTGCATTTCTCAGTGAGTGATGATGCTCCCACCGAGGCTCGAACCCAGTGCCCTTAGTTTCAAACGCCAAAGCGTTATCCACTAGACCACTTGGGCCACGAGAGCCACCACTTGTGCAACGGGTCATATTAATTTAATTGAATTTGAGATTTTCCTGTCGATTGATTGGACCGAAGTGCTCGGTCTCAGGTTGACATGTCGGCTTCTTGTGCAGATGCTTCGACGATGTCTGGGCATTTAATTTGATTGATTACAGAATTTTATCATGAGCTGACATCGGTTAGAAAACCTGGAAGTACTGGACAACTGTTTCGTCCTAGTTTGGGACTCTTCATCAATACGTTCCTGCCAGGGTTCGAACCTAGGACCTTCTGTTTAAAAGGCGAGCTCGTTGACCATTAAGCCACTGGGATCCGATCCAACAACTAGCCCATGAATTCCAATTTCTTCCAATTCACTATATAGCGCGACTGGCACTAGACAATGCTATCCGTGGCGAGTACTTGTCCTCACACCCGACTTTCTGTAGCCTACTGGTGACAACTTCTCACTAGAACCCAGGTAACTACCTATCTGAATAGGGCCAGTCGCTAGTGAGCATCAGATTGATACTCAAGTGTTGATTTTCAGGGATTTGATTGATTGGTTACAGGATTTCATCATTGATGAGCTGACATCAGTTTTTTGTTTGATCAAGAAGTGATATCAGTTTGAAAATAACTGAAAGCCATGGAGTACTGGAGAGCTGTTTTTTCCTCGTTCGACACTCTTCCATCAGTACGCTCCCAAGACTCCCACGACCTCCAGGTTACATGACAAGCCTCTTTGACCATTAGGCACCAGTGGGGTGGAACCCAATGTTTATCAATTCAAACTATTGGCGGTTAAACGAGCTCATTTTGTAACCGGGGATTGGTCACTCGCGGAGTCATAAGTACGTACTACTGAATTTGCGCAGACAAGGATAGAGACAACTGTACAGTACTACTCCCTGGTTTTTAATGCTTCTGTAACTGAAGAGTCACTTAGTGATCAAGGTTGAAATCAATCGAATCCTTTGTAAAATAATTGTGGTGAATCAGTAAGCAAACCCAATCCCGTAAATAGGCTAAAATACTAGTCAATGTCTTAACACCACTGTGAAAACAAAGACTATCGAAAACATCCTTATGTTAGAGACAGTTGTTCTGAATTATTACCAATGAAATAAACAGTGACCTCTATATGTGTTATCAAAACAATTACTGACTGACTGATTGACTGCACAGATCTGCACCATTTCGAGTTGACGCTCTCCCTCCTTGTACCACACAAAGCAACAGAAGATAGAATACAGAGATTCACAAGAGAGATAGGCAATCAACAGAAGAGTTTTATTGGATATGAGAAATCACAAGGAGTGAATGCATCTGAGCTGTCACTGAGAACGAGGATTTTGAGCCATATCATCAATTGTCTCCAGCCTTCATTAGTTCCTACCATCATCCTGAAGAACCCAACCAGTAATGCAGTCTACACCTTCTCACGTGGCTTAAACTAACTGTCGTGGATTTCACTGGCTGATAAAGTCATGTTTTCGTTTGACCAACCCTAGCTTTCTCTTTTACAACCTGATACATCTTATGTCAGCTAACACTGCCTGTTGTCGAGGTAGGTGATGGCCAGATAGGCATGCGTAACACATCTCCTTACCATCTCAATCACAACACCCTCCTTACCTAACAATCGACGCCTAACCTTAATAATCCTCACTGTTATAACCGTAGCCGGAATTAAATGAGGAACGTTGTCGCCTTGTTCTGTCTGCGCCTGACTAATATGCCTATCTGCTTCTGGTACCTTCCGATTCAGCGAACCACGCAAATATCAAAAGACAAAGTCTGGTCTCTGACTTTATATTGTAGTACAACAACTACGACGACGACGACGACTACAACGACAAATAACTTATTTAGGAAATGGTATTTATACAATTTTACAACCAATAGAGACAGCTAACAGTATTTGAAATAATTGGTCGTAATAGTCAATAACAAAATGCGTGGGAATGATGATATACCACTTATGAGAGATTAACAGTCATTAAGATAGCTGAACAATAACAAAGTGCCTGGGAAATGATAATATAACACATATGCGAGATTAACAGTCATTAAGATAATTGAACAATAACAAAGTGTGTGGGAATTGATGATATACAACTTATGCGAGATTAACAGTCGTTAAGATAATTGAACAATAACAAAGTGTGTGGGAATTGATGATATACAACTTATGCGAGATTAACAGTCGTTAAGATAATTGAACAATAACAAAGTGTGTGGGATCGTATCACTCACCCTATTAATACCCCTTGGCACGGGAGACAGAACGCAGACACGTATCATCAAAGGCAGCTAGTCTTTTCCTATATTTCATTTTCTATAGCCATAGAGGAGGACAGGGAGAACAACTGCGTAGTACACGCGTCCTTGAATCGATAGCCGGAGATCACGTCTACTAAGGCAGAGATGGCATAAGTTGGCCAATGCCAAACGAGATTACTGTATCCGTGCTGAGATTTCGTCAGCGATCACCCCGCTAGGACTGGCTGATGCAACTTCCCAAATAAGTGAAGTGGTCGACACACTCTCCACCACTTCTGTAGTATCATCTTACATCTGACAGGAACGAATCGTATGCTGAAAATTCGAAGGCTGCTACTTAAGGTGCTCAGAAGGCTCTGCATTTTATCAGTACCTTCACCTAGTATAAGGACTATATCATCCACACATTCTACACGTCAACGAGATACAAACCAATTAGGATTTTGATGACAAAGAGAATAATATACATAAATCTAAACTACATTTACCAAGACAATGAATAAATAAGCGCATGATTTAAAGGAATTTCTCGAGATCACTGAATCTTCAAACAATTTAAAACACTTACCACATATAACTGAATTAACACATTATCGCACTCGAGAGTAATCAATGTCATGTGTTTAATCTTTAGTGTCGTTCCATAAGTTGAATTTACAACTTAACCTGTCATTTTGAATCGATGTTATATAGTGATTCAAGGTAAACTTGACTATTCAAATCCAACTAATCCCACCAATACCAACAATCAAGATGGCAGTGATTACGCCCCAGTCATCAATTAATGTATCCTCTACAGGAGTCAATCGTAACACAGACAGCTTACTTATTGTTAACTTCTCTATTCGTTTGTTTGTTCGAATCAGAAGCAAGGGACGCGGAAGAGACAGTTTCTTTGACATGGCAGATACACAGGCCATAATGACGAGAGCTAACAACACTCGCTTGCCGACCATGCAGATGGTTCGGGGTTCGACCCCCGGCCACCGACGCACCCCTTTATCTCGCTAAGCCATTAAGTAATAAGACTGGTAAAGAGGGAAGGTTGGGAATGAGGCTAGCAATCCATCCCGTAAAAAAAATAAACACCACAGGACTGGGCTACACTGACTCTTAGTTTAGAAAAAGGGAGTGAAGTGGTAGAGCACGTTGACCGCTTCAATTACTTGGGAAGTACCATCAGCCCCAACGGGTTGATCTCTGACGAAATCTCAGCACGGATACAGAGGGCTCGTTTCGCATATGCCAGTTTACGCCGTCTCTGGCTTAGTAGACGTGATATCCGACTATCGACCAAAGGGCGGGTGTACTGCTCAGCAGTTCGTTCTGTCCTCCTTTATGGCTGTGAGACCTGGCCATTGAGAGTGGAAGACATGCAAAGCTTGGTTAGTCGTCTTTGATCATAGGTGCCTGCGTTCTTTCTCCCGTTTGAAGTGGTACAATAGGGTGAGCAATATTGAGGTTAGGCGTCGAGTGTTAGGTAAGGAGGGGAAATCAATCGACGAGGCTGTGAAATGACGTCGACTGAGATGGTTAGGACATGTGTTACGCATACCTAGTCATCGCCTTCCTCGACGGACGGGCAATGTTACCTGACATAGGGTCAGGCTGGAAAAGAGCTAGCGGTGGTCAAACGAAAACATGGTACCAGTCAATGAAATCTACAACAGTTAGTCTAAGCCACGTAGGAAGGTGTAGACTTCCTGGTTGGGGTCCTCGGGACGGTAAAAACCAATGGTTGGAAACATTTGGTGACATGGCTCTAAATCGATCTCAGTGATAGCGCAGATACATCCACTTCTTGTGACTTCCAATGAAACTGTTTTGTTCTTCGTTATTACTATTCCTTTGTCTCATATCACTGTCTACTGTCTCTATTATGCATTTCTCCTACTTTCTTCTTTTTCTTTGTGTGCTACATGGAGTGTGGCGACTCGAACTGCCGCACATCGGTGCAAAGTTCTATATCGAAAACAGACAGACAGACCACTGCTACCGAAACTTCAAAGCTCTAGGTTGAAGCCCTATATTCCACTGGGAACGTAAAGGAATAAAAAATATATATATACATTTGTTTAGACACTTCCAAAAGTATTGTCAGCCTCAAGTATGACATAAAGAAACAAGTCAGTAGACAATTTGTTGAGATATTTGTACATACATACAGCTTAACACATAAAAAGACATACATATACATATAATTATGTATATATATCTCACCACTTTCAGAAGATGGATTAGATGGAACTTGAGATTTACTCGACGCTGGTTTCGATAATGATGATGATGATGGACTGTCCAAACTTTTAGGAATGTTAATAATTTCCTTTAAACTAGGAATGGTATGTTGTACAGCTGAAATGCTTGCATCAATCTAAAATTTCAAAAATAAAAAAAGTGAATAAAAATATTTGTGTAATAAACTGTTACATACACGGTGTAAAGCGGGAATAAATAAATGAATGAATAAATCTACTTTATACAAAGAGAAATATTGAAGAGCACAAATCTTGAAAACACACTGCTCGATTTATTTATCTATCTCAACAGCGACGGTTACAAGGAATCAACGACGCATTCATCAATTCTGTTGTGTGGTGGTGGTAGTGTTGGCAGAATCAACCACTTATAAATTTACATTGAGTAGGGAATTCTGTGCAAGGAGGGTAAGTTATTCTATGAGGATGCCTATCAACTGCTTACTTACTTTGACAAGAATAGCCAACTAGTAACATAAACCCTTAAATATTAACTGATTGAAGATGACCATTATGGATTTAAAAAGACTTACTAGTGAACAAAGAGTATCCCTTGTTCTCCTTCTTCTTTCTAACTAGGTTCTAACAGTTATATATTTATAATAACTAAAGAATTACTGTTATCGACAACGTTAATGTTTTATTTTACATCACATCGAATCATTGACATCATCTGTGCGTCGGTGGCTCGTTGGTAGAACGTGGTCCGGGGTTCGATTCCCGGTTGATGCACTCCTAGACATCACTGCCTAGCTGGTAGTAAGTAAGGCCTGATAGTAAGACGGAAGCTTGGGTTTGAGAATAGGCAAAAATAAAATCATTGCTACGGAAACTTCAAAGCTCTGGCTTGAAGCCCTATGTTTCACTCGTAACATTAAGGAATAAAATAATAACTCATTAAGAATTTTTCAAAAGACTAGTTACTGAACAAAGAATACTCTTTTCGATAACTTCATCATTAGGTTCTACAGTTATATACACATAACAGTGAATGAATGAATTAGTGTTATTAACAACATTAATTTTGTTTAAGTAACATCGAATCAATAATAATAATGATAATATCAATGGATTACAGTTCGATAGCACCAATATAACAAACAATACACTGAATATCAGACAGGCAAATTAGGAGAAATGATAATATGAATTCATAAGCTCCACTTAAGGCCAGGAGAGTGGAAGTGGCTAGACTTGCTTCTTCTGCACACAGAGCACAGCTTGTTTCAGGCGAATCGCGATAATCTCTGCTGTTTGGAGTATGCAGTACCTAGATGTCTTTGGCAATTTATTCGTTATCCGATAGATGATAGAGAAGGACTCTTCAATATTGGCTTTCTGGCTAGTTTGAACCAAGTGTTCTAATATGGAGCTATTGATACTTCTTACTACACCTTTATTTAGCCACACTGGTAAATGTTCCCGAGCGAGCACGAAATATCAAGTTCTTAGAGCAACGGTCTGTTTTCGACATAGAACTTTGCACCGATGTGCAGCAGTTCGAGTCGCCACACTCCCTCCTTGTAGCAGACAAAGCAAGAGAAGAAAGTAGGAGAAATGCATATTAGAGACAGTAAGTTGAGGTGTGAGACAAAGGAATAGTAATATCGAAGAACAATATAGTTTCATTGGAAATTATAAGTCACAAGGAGTGGATGCATCTGCGCCTGCCATTGAGAACGATTTTGAGCCATATCACCAATTGTTTCCAACCAGTGGCTTTTACCGTCCCGAGGACCCCAACCAGGAAGTCTACATCTTCTTACGTGGCTTAGACTAACTGTTATGGATTTCATTGACTGGTGCCATGTTTTGGTTTGACCGCCGCTAGCTCTTTTCCAGCCTGGCCCTATATCAGCTAACATTGCCCGTCGAGGAAGGCGATGACAAGGCATACGTAGCACATGTCCTAACCATCTCAGTCGATTTAATTTCATAGCCTTGTCGATTGATTTCCCCTCCTTACCTAGCACTCGACGCCTAACCTCAATATTGCTCACCTTATTATACCACTTCACGCGGGAGATAGAAGTGGTAATGGCAACGGCCAATATAACTTGCTCCACCACAAGCACCGTTGAATTGATAGATACAATTGGAAGTGGCTAGTCTAGGTACTTTATCTTTCAATTGAGGAATCAACACCGGTCGTGTAGAAAATAAGACTTGCAATTTCACCCGTATAAAAATTTTTTTGAACTAATTGTCTTAACTTCTTCGTAATTATTTCTATAGGTACATCACCTTTGAATTGCAATCCTACGAAAAAGGACGCTTGTGTTTACGGATAGTGAATAGTCCTTTTCAACTTTCTTAGTCACATGTTTCCTGATGAATTTGTCTGGATAGCTATTTTCAATCGAGGTATCATATACAATCCTTAGTCCATCTTTAATTACTTCTTCTGAGCATATAGCTCTAACCCTGTGGCTGAGGGTCCTTACTAAATTTCTTTTGTACTGGAGAGGAACGAAGTTATGAAAATGTGTATATTGTCCTGTACGTGTGCTTTTCCTATGCAAATTTCTCCTTATACTACCTATCTGGTTTTCTTGTAAGGAGCACATCCAGGAAGGCAATTCTATTTTGGGATTCCTCTTCGCACTTGAATTTCATAGCAGAATGTACTTCATTGAATTAAGTTGTTATTGTGTTCCTATTCGAATCATTATCACAAAGAATAAAGGTATCATCTATATGCTGGCAATAAAATGAGAATTTTCTGATAAGGTTGTTTAAAGGTTTATTTTCCAGTTTATTTATAAGATGTTAATAACATCAATTCAATCACTATTATGTGAATATATAATTGTAGAACCTGATGATGAAGCTATTGAAAAGAATATTCTTTGTTCAGTAACCAACCATTCTTTTGAGAATAAAATAATAACAATCGACGTCATCCAAATTCCAATAGGCATTTGTGAATAAACTTAATAGATTACAATTCACAACGTGTGTGTGTGTGAACGTGATAACATGCATATATCCAACACTAAAGTGTACATCACATCGCCAAAGTGGAGGACCGTGAATAACAACGAATGAATCCTCATAATTAGTGTTCTCACTGAATTCTCTGTTCCTACTGATTATAAACTTCGTTGGTATTAGATGGTTGGAGGCAGCAATCGGCCACAGGAAGCCTTGCTTGACCTAGGTTTCGTGCTAGCTGGCACTCACTCACCAGTCGGCAGCAAGGCGTATCTGAAACCTTGAAGGAACTCATGTCCCTTCTGAGATTCGAACCCACGTCAACCAGTGGGGCTGAAGTCAGAAACGTACGTTACCACTGGGCTATTCAGGCTCACGACTGACTGTATTGGATATTTTTGATTGGACACTAGTCAGTAACTTCATATGGATGCATGATAATATCATCAAATACAAGGAGAGAAAAGGGTGAAGAAGGTTACTTCTGTGTGTGCATGTCAGTGTATAGGTGAATTACTCAGAAGGTTTGTTTATACAAGTATAGTAATAAGGAGTGGGGGTGGGAGAATTTATACATACAGGATGTAAGGTCATATCTAAAATGTACAACGTAATATAATATTTATGAGTTCATAGATTCCACAGCAGGCCAGTGTAACAATAGCAGCAGCTGGACCTGTTTTTTTGCACACAGAGCTCCGGGTGTTTTAAGTGAATTCCAATGACCTCTGGGTGTTTAGACGTATTCGGTACCTAGAGGCTTTTACTAATTTATTTGGTACGTGATAAATGATACAACTGTAGAATCTGATGCATAAGTTATCAGTTAACAGTTGAGGTCTTACGTATTAATTATATTTTATGTAGCTAAGCTGACCAACATGTACAAGCCAAAATAAGCATACAAACCACATTTATGAAATAGTACTATATTCTCTAGTTTGGTTTGTAAGGGTTAGTTTTGTTTTTACGAGCTGATCACGGATTGATATCAGTTAGAGAACCATTGAAAACCAGCATTGGAGTACTGGACGGCTGTTTCATTCTAGTTTGGGAATCATCGGCACCATGCACCCACCACCAGGGTTCGAACCCAGGACCTTCCGGTGATGACAAGGCAAGCTCGTAGAAGTTAGAATTCATGAGCCATTGAATCGGGTCCCAGTGGCTGAATGGTATACGAGCCAGGTTGTCTTGTAACCGGAAGGTCCTGGGTTCGAACCCTGGCAGTGGGTGCGTACTGCCGATGATTCCCAAACTATGTGGATGAAACAGCTATCCACTACTCCAATGCTGATTTTCAATGGTTCTCTAACTGATATCAATCATGAAGAGATTGTCTGCTTTTGACCACAGATGTTTACGATCTCTTTCTCACGTTAGGTGGCATAATAAGGTAAGTAATGTTGATGTTAAGTGTAGAGTGTTGGGCAAAGACGGAAAATCAATCGAAGAGGCTATGAAGTTACATAGATTGAGATGGTTAGGCCACGTGCTGCGCATGCCTAGCCATCGTCTCCCCTGACGGACGGGCATTACTAGCTGATATAGGTGCAGGTTGGAAAAGAGTAAGTGGTGGCCAAACAAAAACATGGCATCAATCCATGAAATCCCTGATAGTTAAACTGAGTCAGGTGGGAGGGAGATGCAGACTTCCGGGTTGGGGCCCGTTCTCGGGACTCTAAGAATCAATGGCTGGAGACAATAAGTGACATGGCTCAAAATCGTTGTCAATGGCTTACGCAGATGTATTCAGTCTCTGTAATCTTTCATATTCCTTTCTACCATTACTCATTCTGTTTCACTCTTATACTTATCTAAATTCTATTGATTCTCTTCTCTCACTTTCCTGTCTACCTTTGTGTGCTATTTGGAACGTGGCAACTCGAACTGCTGCACTTCGGTGCCAAGTTCTATGTTGAATCCAGCAGCAGCAGCAGCAGCAGATATCGATCCGTGATCAACTCGTAAAAATAGTACTATACACATATTCTAGGGTTATGATGAGTGTATTTAATAGCATGAAGTGGATATCGTTTGGGCGGCTTCAAAATGAGATGAATACTGGCACAAATGAACACGGTGATCTTTTGGTTTTATTATACAACGTGATATGGCATAGTTTAGTTTACACAAGGACTTTGAACTGAACAGACAATATTCGTAATTTTTAAGGTAATAA